GATCATGTACAGTGACTAGCAAGCAGCGATCATGCACAGTGCACTAGCAGCGATCATGTACAGTGAACAAGCTAGCAGCTATCATGTGCAGTGTACTAGCTAAGAGCGATTATGTACAGTGCACTAGTTAGCATCGATCATGTACCATGCACAAGCTAGCAGGGATCATGTATAGTGTACTAGCTAGCAGCAATAATGTACAGTGTACTAGCTAAAAGCGATCATGAACAGTGCGAGCTAGCAGTGATCATGTACCGTGACTAGCTAGCAGCGATCATGTACAGTGACTAGCTAGCAGCGATCATGTACGGTGACTAGCTAGCAGAGATCTTGTACAGTGACTAGCTAGCAACGATCATGTACATTGCATCAGCTAGCAGCGATTATGAACAGTGTACTAGCTAGCAGCGATCATGTACAATGTACTAGCTAGCAACGATCATGTACAGTGTACTAGCTAACACCGATCATGTGCAATGCACTAGTTAGCAGCGATCATATACAGTGTACTAGCTAGCAGCGATCATGTACAGTGACTGGCTAGCAGCGATCATGTAAATCGTACCAGTTAGCACAAATCATGTACAATGACTAACTAGCAGCGATCATGTACAGTGCACTAGCTAGCACCGATCATGTACAATGCACTAGCTAGCAGCGATCATGTACAGTGTACTAGCAAGCAGCGATCATGCACAGTGCACTAGCTAGCAGCGATCATGTACAGTGAACAAGCTAGCAGCTATCATGTACAGTGTACTAGCTAAGAGCGATTATGTAAAGTGCACTAGTTAGCATCGATCATGTACCATGCACAAGCTAGCAGGGATCATGTATAGTGTACTAGCTAGCAGCGATAATGTACAGTGTACTAGCTAAAAGCGATCATGAACAGTGCGAGCTAGCAGTGATCATGTACCGTGACTAGCTAGCAGCGATCATGTACAGTGACTAGCTAGCAGCGATCATGTACGGTGACTAGCTAGCAGAGATCTTGTACAGTGACTAGCTAGCAACGATCATGTACATTGCATCAGCTAGCAGCGATTATGAACAGTGTACTAGCTAGAAGCGATCATGTACAATGTACTAGCTAGCAACGATCATGTACAGTGTACTAGCTAACACCGATCATGTGCAATGCACTAGTTAGCAGCGATCATATACAGTGTACTAGCTAGCAGCGATCATGTACAGTGACTGGCTAACAGCGATTATGTAAATCGTACCAGTTAGCACAAATCATGTACAATGACTAACTAGCAGCGATCATGTACAGTGCACTAGCTAGCAGCGATCATGTACAGTGTACTAGCAAGCAGCGATCATGCACAGTGCACTAGCTAGCAGCGATCATGTACAGTGAACAAGCTAGCAGCTATCATGTACAGTGTACTAGCTAAGAGCGATTATGTACAGTGCACTAGTTAGCATCGATCATGTACCATGCACAAGCTAGCAGGGATCATGTATAGTGTACTAGCTAGCAGCGATAATGTACAGTGTACTAGCTAAAAGCGATCATGAACAGTGCGAGCTAGCAGTGATCATGTACCGTGACTAGCTAGCAGCGATCATGTACAGTGACTAGCTAGCAGCGATCATGTACAGTGACTGGCTAGCAGCGATCATGTAAATCGTACCAGTTAGCACAAATCATGTACAATGACTAACTAGCAGCGATCATGTACAGTGTACTAGCTAGCACCGATTATGTACAATGCACTAGCTAGCAGCGATCATGTACAGTGTACTAGCTAGCAGCGATCATGTACAGTGTACTAACTAGTAGCGATCATGTACAGTGAACTAGCTAGCACCGATCATGTACAGTGACTAGCTAGCAGCGATCATGTACATCGCACCAGTCAGCACAAATCATGTACAATTACTAACTAGCAGCGATCATGTAAAATGACTAGCTAGCAGCCATCATGTACAGTGTACTAGCTAGCAGCGATCATGTACAGTGACTAGCTAGCAGCGATCATGTACATCGCACCAGTTAGCACAAACCATATACAATGACTAACTAGCAGCGATAATGTACAATGACTAGCTAGCAGCGGCCATGTACAATGAACTAGCTAGCATCGATCTTGTACAATGTAATAGCTAGGAACGACCATGTACAGTGCACCAGTTAGCAGCGATCATGTACAGTGTACTAGCTAGCAGCAATCATTTACGGTGACTAGCTAGCAGAGATCTTGTACAGTGACTAGCTAGCAGCGATCATGTACATTGCATCAGCTAGCAGCGATCATGTACAGTGACTAGCTAGCAGCGATCATGTACAGGGCACCAGTTAGCAGCAATCATGTACAGAACACTAGCTAACGGGGATCACGTACAGTGTACTAGCTAGCACCGATCATGTACAATGCACTAGCTAGCAGCGATCATGTACAATGTACTAGCTAGCAGCGATAATGTACAGTGCACTAGCCAGCAGCGATCATGTACAGTGCACTAACTAGCAGCGATCATGTACAGTGTACTAGCTAGCAGAGATCATGTACAGTGCACCAGTTAGCAGTGATCATGGACAGTGCATCAGCTAGCAGCGATCATGAACAGTGTACTAGGTAGCAGCGATCATGTACAGTGTACTAGCTTAGAGCGATCATATACAGTGCTTTAGCTAGCACCGATCATGTACAGTGCATAAGCTAACAGCGATCATGTGCAGTGACTAGCTAAAAGCGGTCATGAACAGTGTACTAGCTAGCAGCGATAATGTACGGTATGCTACCTAGCAGCGATCATGTACAGAGCACTAGCTAGCAGCGATCATATACAGTGCAATAGCTAGCACCGATCATGTACAGTGACTAGCTAGCAGTGAAAGTCCAACAGCACGTCGAGAGATCCGTGATACGAAGACTTTAAGACGGTTACATGGTTGTAAACATGATATCATAGGAAAAGATTATATTCCAATGTCATATATCAAGTCTTGAGCTTCAAAATTGATGCTCTTAGCGTCACTGACAAGTTCTAGCACGAGAAAACACAGCTTCATAGCGCAATGTGATTAATGTTTTGGCTCTACTGTATATAATTCTAAATTTATATTCAAAGTACAATTTCAATACTTGATCAACATTCCATGATAGCTACCTTGTCATGTCCATGTTTCTATCTAGAGAGAACGTCGCATTTCATGTATTTTGCCCAGATTTACTTTATATTGGGGATGGTTACATTTTACGTAACACTTGTGGTCTTTCATGGAGTCTCCATCGTGTTTGTTATATTTTGCTTACAAATCGGTTATCTCCAGTTTAATTAAGTTTCAGTTTTTTGTGTTACATGTAATGTTCGATCATTTATACTATCCTGTTTTAAAGAATCAAATAGATGCTACACTCAAGAAGAATATGTCCATGTATACAAATCTGCTTTTGCTCATTTCCACAGATGGGTATTTATATACAATAGCTGTTCTCCATATTCTTCAAACAACGTTCCTTGTCATTTCTCAAAAAACCGTTCCTTGTTGTCATTTCTCCTACATCATGTCATATCATTACTCCAAACACTGTCCCTTGTTGTCATTACCCCAAACACTGTCCCCTGTTGTTATCTCTACAAACACTGTCCCTTGCTGTCATTACTCCAAACACTGTCCTTTGTTGTCATTTCTCCAAACACTGTCCCTTATTGTCATTTCTCCAAACACTGTCCCTTGTTGTCATTTCTCAAAACACTGTCCCTTATTGTCATTTCTACAAACACTGTCCCTTGTTGTCATTTCTCCTAACGTCATATCATATCATTACTCCAAACACTGTCCCTTGTTGTCATTACCCCAAACTCTGTCCCTTATTGTCATTTCTCCAAATACTGTCCCTTGTTGTCATTTCTCCAAACACTGTTCCTTGTTATCATTTCTCCCAACATCATGTCATATCATTACTCCAAACACTGTCCCTGTTGTTATCTCTACAAACACTGTCCCTTGTTGTCATTACTCCAAACACTGTACCTTGTTTTCTTTTCTCCAAACACCATCACCTGTTGTCATGTTTTCAAACATCATGTCATATCATTACTCCAAACACTGTCCCTGTTGTTATCTCTACAAACACTGTCCCTTGTTGTCATTACTCCAAACACTGTCCCTTGTTGTCATTTCTCCAAACACTGTCCCTTGTTGTCATTTCACCAAACACTGTCCCTTATTGTCATTTCTACAAACACTGTCCCTTGTTGTCATTTCTCCTAACATCATGTCATATCATTACTCCAAACACCATCCCTTGTTGTCATTACCCCAAACTCTGTCCCTTATTGTCATTTCTCCAAATATTGTCCCTTGTAGTCATTTCTCCAAACACTGTCCCTTGTTGTCATTACTCCAAACACTGTCCCTTGTTGTCATTACTCCAAACACTGTCCCTTGTAGTCATTTCTCCAAACACTGTCCCTTGTTGTCATTACTCCAAACACTGTCCCTTGTTGTCATTACTCCAAACACTGTCCCTTGTTGTCATTTCTCCCGACATCATGTAATATCATTACTCCAAACACTGTCCCCTGTTGTTATCTCTACAAACACTGTCCCTTGTTGTCATTACTCCAAACACTGTACCTTGTTTTCTTTTCTCCAAACACCATCACCTGTTGTCATGTTTTCAAACATCGCCCGTTGTTGTTATTTCATTAAACGCCATCTCTTGTAATTTCTCCAAACACAGTACGTTTTTGTCTTGACTCTAAACACCGTTCCTTGTCATTTCTTCAAACACCTTTCCTTGTTGTCATTTTTTCCAACACCGTCCCTTGTTGTAATGTTTTTAAACATCGTCCGTTAATTTCATTTCTCCAAACACTGTCCCTTGTCATTTCTCGAAACGCCATCCCTTTTCATTTCTCCAAACACTGTCCCTTGTTATGAACAAAATTCTGCAGATAATATATTATTGTAAAATAATATATATATATATATATATATATGTTTTTTTTTGACAGGTAAGGAATTAGTTTTGTCAATTATGCTAATTACGACATCTGATAATAGTAATCTCCAACTTCGAAGGTAAGATAGTGAAATCGTAAAAACTATAAGATTTCATGTTAAAGGTTCTTTTCTATGATGAATAAAGCAATGGGACTGATAATGCACGCGATGTCACTTACATATCGTTTTTTTATTTAAAGTAAATCAATACAATTTGATGTTAAGGTGCTCGATTTGAATTTTACTTCTCAGAGACAGCAGCGGAGGCTCCGAACAAACTAATATCTGTAAATGTATATATGTTACAGGAGTAAGACTGGTGAAATAGACAGGAAGAATCTGTTTTTACTCAGTCGTATTCTATCAATCACTGGCTATTTATCAGCTCGACCTGTTTCCCTATCCCTGACCTACACGCTCCAGCATAACTGTCACAGGGCGGAAGTGAGTAATACTTTGATTCGGATGATACATGTCAGATAGAGATCTTTACATTGATTAAGTTTATTATTTATAATCTTTATTATGTCGCGCTGACTCTAGACCGGGTTAATGGTTGTTATATGTATATTATATAGATATATAGGATTACATATACATAAACATATTTGATAAATTTAATATTATGATTGTACGTGTAGAAATTGCAAATCAACCTCATATACTCCACAAAAAAAGAAACACCTAATTAAATTACACCGTTACAAAATTGTGCTGGTGCTGAAAAAAGCAGTGTCTGTGTGACGTGACGTATGTAGTTTTAGTATTTTTGGTAGTTGGATATCCCCGAATAGACAAAATTACCATTCTGTTTGAATTGTTGTTTAATGTGTTTCTTTATGCGTTTAATTCATTAGACCATGGATTTGCCTGGGGATGTTCATCTTGTCTATGTTGTATCTAACTTACGTGTTGGTCGAGTCTGGAGATGTTCCTCTTGCTTGTCTATGTTGTATCTAACTTACGTGTTGGTCGAGTCTGGGGATGTTCATCTTGTCTATGTTGTATCTAACTTACGTGTTGGTCGAGTCTGGGGATGTTCATCTTGTCTATGTTGTATCTAACTTACGTGTTGGTCGAGTCTGGGGATGTTCATCTTGTCTATGTTGTATCTAACTTACGTGTTGGTCGAGTCTGGGGATGTTCATCTTGTCTATGTTGTATCTAACTTACGTGTTGGTCGAGTCTGAGGATGTTCATCTTGTCTATGTTGTATCTAACTTACGTGTTGGTCGAGTCTGGGGATGTTCATCTTGTCTATGTTGTATCTAACTTACGTGTTGGTCGAGTCTGGGGATGTTCATCTTGTCTATGTTGTATCTAACTTACGTGTTGGTCGAGTCTGAGGATGTTCATCTTGTCTATGTTGTATCTAACTTACGTGTTGGTCGAGTCTGGGGATGTTCATCTTGTCTATGTTGTATCTAACTTACGTGTTGGTCGAGTCTGGGGATGTTCATCTTGTCTATGTTGTATCTAACTTACGTGTTGGTCGAGTCTGGGGATGTTCATCTTGTCTATGTTGTATCTAACTTACGTGTTGGTCGAGTCTGGGGATGTTCATCTTGTCTATGTTGTATCTAACTTACGTGTTGGTCGAGTCTGGGGATGTTCATCTTGTCTATGTTGTATCTAACTTACGTGTTGGTCGAGTCTGGGGATGTTCCTCTTGCTTGTCTATGTTGTATCTAACTTACGTGTTGGTCGAGTCTGGGGATGTTCATCTTGTCTATGTTGTATCTAACTTACGTGTTGGTCGCGCCTGGGGATGTTCCTCTTGTCTATGTTGTATTTAACTTACGTGTTGGTCGAGTCTGGGGATGTTCCTCTTGCTTGTCTATGTTGTATCTAACTTACGTGATGGTCGCGCCTGGGGATGTTCATCTTGTCTATGTTGTATCTAACTTACGTGTTGGTCGAGTCTGGGGATGTTCCTCTTGCTTGTCTATGTTGTATCTAACTTACGTGTTGGTCGAGTCTGGGGATGTTCATCTTGTCTATGTTGTATCTAACTTACGTGTTGGTCGAGTCTGGGGATGTTCCTCTTGCTTGTCTATGTTGTATCTAACTTACGTGTTGATCGAGCCTGGGGATGTTCCTCTTGTCTATGTTGTATCTAACTTACGTGATGGTCGCGCCTGGGGATGTTCCTCTTGTCTATGTTGTATTTAACTCACGTGTTGGTCGAGCCACGGAACGTTCCTCTTGTCTTATTGTATCTAACTTACGTGTTGGTCGAGCCTGGGAACGGTCCTCTTGTCTATGCTGTATCTAACTCACGTGTTGGTCGAGCCTTGGGATGTTCCTCTTGTCTATGTTGTATTTAACTTACGTGGCTTGGTTCTGACGAGCTCATTCTAAAGGTCGTCAAACGGAGATCTATGTCGTGAAGTATAGAGGTCATTCGCTAGACTAGATTTTTTTGCCGTGAGATATTACGTATGAATCTCGTCATATGTAGTCTTGCAAATATAAGATTATGACCTCTAGCATGTGTAAGGACATGTGGTTGGAGGATATGATCTATATATCTAATGGCATTGAGGTTTTGGTTTTTGACTACTAAGGCGAAATTACTCCATGGGATGTGCCACTCCAAACTATATTTACCATATCGAATCGTTGATGAACAACACACACCTCTGCCGATAAAATACATCATAAACCTCTTCGGTGTGCGTATTCAGTGGACGATGTTTGGAGAAATGACAACAAGGAACGATAATGTGACTTATTCGAACCATGTGTTCTCTCGACACGCAGATGATTCCTGGACGTTTGAACACCGACGGGTCTACCATGGGTGTCTAGGTTATGCGATGCAGTCTCTGCGGCAATTTTGAATCCGTCACGCGGGTGCATAATTCAAATTGCCATGCCATGTCGTGTAGTCTTTACGCGAATTGACCCAGTAGCACAATAAATTACACACTAGACAACAACAAACTGCCATGCAACGACAATTTCACTTTGGTCATCCATTTACATCGCTGGTTTTAGGGTATGATTTCTAACGCGGAGATCATCCATGCTGTGTTACCTAACCAGAAATACCTGTAGGAAAAAAACTGTTTTTCAAGTATATCAATGTGCGAAAAACATTAGTATTTAGTTCTCTTTCACCTCTAAAATCCAAAGAGTTCTGTTTAATCCGAAACAATGATAAAGACTTGCGTAATCAGTTTTTACTGTTCTATTCACAAATAACCTAATCACATAACAAAGGTTTTATTAACATTTGTTTTACAATCTTAAATTGACATTTTCCTGGATATTAGCTTTCAGCACGTAATGGTTTCATGACGTTGAGTTCCTGCTTAACGAAAACCGTATTGTGCTTTACCCTGACCTTATTCTTTAAACATTCTGTTATTTCCAGGAACAAATTGGTACCAATAAAAGTGCAGAGATAATATGTGGCTACATTGATAAGGAATCTGGGTAAGTCATCGTCCATATTCAATTTGGTTTCGTAATTTGCAAGCAAACCTTATGATTACTCTAGAGGCCGATTAATGGAAATCTCTCTCTCTCTCTCTCTCTCTCTCTCTCTGAATAAACACTCTAATAACATTTGTACTGATGAAAAACCTGTCTACCAGGAAACCAGTTACATAATGTGTGTACATAATCGTAATCCATTTTACTATTTTGACGTCTTCTTTGTTTTGTATGCTTATTACTTTCTTTTAAACGACAAGACTGACCCTATTGTTAATTATAAGTGAAAGGCATTGTTCATTAAATTTCTTTAATCTAACTTTTTATTGCTTTTTCCTATGTGCTGATTGCTGATTGAAATCGGTATTATTAACTCCGCTATGTACATCTAAAGAAATGCAAATAAAATTGACACCATATAAAACTTTAATACACATACTGATTGTCTAAAACGTTTCTTTGGAAATTGCTTAAGATCTCCTAATTTGCATTATGTATCAATGTAGTTTCTTCAAAACTGCCACCACTTCTCATACTATGTCTTAATTGTATAATGTATGACCATGCCGAATCTCATACACTGATATCTTCAACATATTGTCCCTTACATATTGGTTCTTACTTCGTATCGAACGGTGTACGGAGTGAACATGATATTACCGGATACGATATTGCACCAACCATTCAAAACGTACTGTCCATTTGAGTGACATCTAAAGCTTTTTAATGGCCGATTAATATAAGACGGCAGGCAATATTTGCTTCAGTATGATGCGTTTTCCAAATTCGACATCGATGCTATTCAGTATGTTGAGAATTCTTTCGCGTGTTTCGTAACTGGTCTTTGAGAATTGCCGTAGGAACATGCTGTTTTCAGCTACTGTAATCTGATAATTGTTTCAAAAGGCACGGAAATGCTATACTGACCCTAGTTAAATTAAAGATCTGTTGTTGATATACAGAATGCGTGCATAATACTGCCCTTGCGATCACCGTTCTCATAAAGATAACTACATCGCTAACGACATCGATTAGAAGTAAAACGTATAACAAACTCATGTATGAACACAAACTACGCCGTCTTCAAATGTCTCCCGTTCTCTTAGACACCTACATCATTACAGCACTGGCTTTCAAACCTATCTCAAGTTCGTCGTCAAATTTACCATTATAGAAAACGAGAATGTTCTTTTATGTTCGTACCACCAAAGACATGTGTATCTGGGTTTGGTGGTTCCACTGATAATAGCCCTTTCACTAGCGAACTTATTACGAAATTGTTACATACTGCTTCTTGTACACATTATGTTAGATCTTTGTTACAGGTAAAACAAAATACTGAACATGTCGCAAAAAAGCATGTTGTCAAGAAAACAATATTACACATATGAAAACATCGTTTTTGTTTTCTTCTTTTTTTGCGTCCTAATCAAATAAAAATGATATACATTACTACAAAAATAATGTAAGTTTCCGTAACAACAGAGAATATACCAACATTTCAATAGCGTTGTAAATTAAATGGTTCCCACTCCTCAGGCCCTGGGGTAAAAAAGGGGTCAAATTGTTGCCATTTCAAAAATCTTCTCACAAGTATGGTCAAATCAAATACTCAAATTAAAAGATATTGCGGTACTAAAACTATAAATTCCTTGACCCCATGATGTCACATTTCGCCCTGAAGAGAAAAGAAAGTCTACAACGGATCATACAGGAATATTAATTTCTGGGCATGAATTATTAATTTTTATTGGAACTAATGAAAACTTAGTATATGACAACAGTTTGATGGTGTACACATACTGGTCCTGGCTTACTCCCAAAGGGAGACGGGTTCAAATTCACTTCAGTGTTCAATCATCTCATTACCAAGCTATGGACGAATCTATTAAATAATTTACATGGATAGAGGAGTTTATGTAGGAAATTACATTTTTTTTAGTTTGATTTTTAATCAATTAAAAAGGTAGTAAGATGCCTTAGATTGAGATGACTGTCAATGTTATGTACACTCTTCAGTTCTGTTTCATGTACGTTGTAGTTCAAGTTACCACTTTTTGTTAACAAGATAATCACCAACAGTATTTAACGCCGGTGACCGTACGGCCCAATGACCGCTTATTAACCGGTGAATTTTACTGCAGAACAATTTCGTCGTTATTTATCTCAAAATGAGAACAAACAAGTAAAACAAGGTCGTGGTTGACGTCATGGTTGTTTTGTTTCACTGTTGTTCATTGATATGTTTTGATAAACGTTTTGTGAAGGATATGTTTTGATAAACATTTTGTCCATGATATGTTTTGATAAACGTTTTGTAATTGACGAAGTGGTGAAGTCACTGAACCGTAGTTCATTTAGTAAATCATGTTTTCATTCTTCAGAAATAGTATCAGCGTGTTATCAGTCACTATAATTGCATGTGGTCTCTTCAGCCTAAGGTAACATAAAGAGTGGTCAGTCATTCCGACATGATAGTTCCCATCACCAATGTAGCATTAAACCGTATCAAAACATAAATGAAAGACAAACATGGCACGATCTAACATGCGGAAGTAAAATGGGTACTGTTACATATTCTGTCTCAGTGAGTCTTCAAATGTTTACACAGGTTTACATTAATTTGATACCACAACGCTTGAGTACCTGAAGTCTGGAAAACAATACAATATACATATGTAATCCTGAAAAAGAAAGTAGGTATAATGAATCTATAAACAATTATACCGACGAAATACATCACTCATATAAAAGTATGTATACACTGTACAACCCTAAACGCATGGAAATACCTAGGAATAATCAAGATGTTCTTAATTTGACCATTATCATCGTAATCAGGTTTGTCGTTTTTATGTAAGATACAGTGACCAAGATGTACATGGCGAGTGTCGTCGATGAAGCACGAGGCTTTTCCGATGTGCGCACGATGGGAAAACTGTACGAATAAGTTATCGCACGTCTGTGCGCACGTTGTGCGGTGCTATCGCACAGATGTGCGATTCTATCTTGGTTGATATAAATTCAGAAAATAATTATCGATTAGTGAGAGATAGGGTTTATTTATTTGCTCAATATATAAAAATAAAACTAGGTATATTTCCTAATTATGTCCTACATCTATAGGTTGGACACATGCGAATCTATCATATACAGACAGAAGAGTTATATACACTCGTAATTCATAGTGTTTTGTTTACACTCATTGTACACATTATGTGTTAACACGAAATTAACCTTTGTTTTGTCTCGGCAATGAATGATTTTAAATCGCATTCCGTCATAAATGAATTTTGATTTTCATTGCTTCTGTATTACACTCATTTTTCTATCATTTCGTAAACAAACAATAAAATGTATACTCAGATAAATTCTAGGTGTTGTATTTGTTACACGGAAGACCTAGTCGGTACGAATTCATGCAGAGTCCAATGTTATTTCCAAACTTAAAACGACTTTTACAATCACCGATCTATCATTGATACGCCCGTTATCGCTATTAAGTCATAACTATACGAGTTTCCGTTTAATGTTCAATCCATAATATTAGCCAATCATTTCGACCAAGCCGCACAAAACGTACGATCCTGAAACACAGTTGTACGTTGCATGCTGTAGATTGCAGTGTGCTTACGATGTAAGCACATTTTTGGGTGCGTCGCACGTCACCACAGCTGTATATGAAAGGTCCCCTCTCAGACAGTTTTTACAATAGTAAAAATGTTATTAGATTATTCAGAGAAAGATTCCTATTAATCAGTCTCTAGAGTAATCATAATGTTTGATGGTTTGTTATACGGGAAACCTAGCCGGATCGCACCTGTCACGTATACATCCGAGGCACATCTCTTGTCTAAGATGTGAAATCATATGCTAAAAAGGCTACTAAGCGCAGCGTCAAGTGTTATTTGCGAAAACTGACGAATGAAAGATGATAAAAATAATTACCGGTCAATTTTGATACGATGTGATCACTATTAAGTCACAACTACTTGAATTCTCCGTGTAATTTTCAGTCCGTAAATTTAGCTTATCATATTTATGAAACCACTCAAAATTTGCGATTTAATCAGTTGTAGACTTAATACTGCAGAGTTTGTTTGTGCGGAGAATGTGCGCACGATGTATGCACGATTTGCCGGTCCACAATGCAAGCACTAAGTTTTTGGTGCGTTGAGCTTTACTAAACCTAAATTTGATTCTGTTGCCATGTTTTCATTTTCTTTATATTGAAGTTATTGGTCAGACAAAGGGTGTTTTTTACTCCACACGAATGCCTCAGCTAGCACCTGTCATTGTAATCATACAACTAACTTCGCCATCCTCATGCAGGTTCGAGACGTAAAGGTGAGCGTTTGTTTTTGGTTTGGTTTAATTATGCATCAGTAGAGGTAAGATTTGGTGATTCTCCATTAGTGTGCCCTGCTTAATTACATGTATATAGCGATTTCTAGAAAGCTCGTTCAAACATAGACCTTATGGAGCGCATTTAGATTCGACGGATTGTCATCTTCAAAATGAATTAGATTAAAAGCCATGACCCATATCACTCTAACATTTATACAATAAAAATATAACTTGGGCAGTGCATGTAGGTAGGGTGTTAGTTTAGTTTAACGTAAAAAATAGTACATCGACCTATTTTTATAATGTTCCAACATAAAAGCATGAACAAATCAATTTACTATTCAATTATCTGTCCATTTGTAGATTTTTCATCTCAAAACTAAAATTTGACATAGTAATGTAAACATCATGAGAACTCAAACCTTCTATTGGTATTTCCTGATAACTTCATGTTCTGTGTATGATGTAAATTTAGCACACATGATGTACAAATTACCTTTTGATAATCTATCGGAAGCATGATTGAATGTGTAGTGTATACAAGAAAGCTATATAAATCACTGATTGTGTCATCAAGAAGCAGAAGCAGCAGAGATATAGCGTCTAGTTAACATTGATGAACCACTACAGCTGGAAACACCCTATAAATCACAGCCGTTTAATTGACATGTTCTTGGCAACGCTTGTACGCTATGATTAACATACCTATCATTATAATGAAGCTCGCCACATTTACGCTAAATATTCAAAACTTCCTCTCTATAAATCAACACTTGGTAAATACACTTTCAATATACTCAGGTTTACAGATAGTGCTTAATGCTATAGCTATATGCATCCCAAAGCCTTGACTGACAAAAGTGTGCTTTAAACCTAAAATAACATAAATATTTGACTATTGTATTGAGTTCAATAAACGTGTAAAATTCGTTGATTACCAACCAGCAACCTTCTTCTTCGTTTGAACAGTTTGTGGTGTGAGATTGGTATTGTCATTCGAGCCCGTGGTGTTGTTCCTCGTAAATCCGTATTCAACAACACCTTCAATTCCATCTAATGCTAATATCTCGGTACACAATAACAAATGTCATGCAAGCATGTTCGGTATCAAGGCAGTTTTTACACTCTCAATCAGTGAGCTGTTTTGTTGCTTCAAATGGAATTTAACACGAACAATCTTCCTTCATTCATTGCTTCTGTACCATTTAAGACTCCGGGGCTGCAAAGTTTTATTTCTAGTTGTTTATACCTTAAGGTGGAAATACGATAACTAAGGGGAAAATGTCTGTTTCCGATTTCCTGGCCGTCCCCAGTTTTTGACTAGCGATCATAATTTTTTTTAACATTTTGAAAAAAATATATATATATACCCTATATTTTCCGTGTTTATCTTCAGTTTGGATTACACATATAAGTATGATTCTGTTGACATGTTGGTTTTCCTTTGTCGGTTTAGGACCAGTTTTATTGAATTGAAATTATGATTCTGTTGTCATGCTTGTTTTTCCTTCTTTTTGTTTTTGGTTCAGGACCAGTTTTATTTAATTTGAATGATGATTCTGTTGTCTTACTGGTTTTTCTTTGTTGGTCTAGGACCAGTTTTAATGAATTTGAATTATGATTCTGTTGTCATGTTGGTTTTTCTTTGTTGGTCTAGGACCAGTTTTATTGAATTTGAATTATGATTCTGTTGACATGTTGGTTTTTCTTCGTTATTTTAGGAACAGTTTTATTGATGAAATGATATGTAGACGCTATACGTACTGATTGTTTCATTCATAGTAATTCTATATCCCAAATGTTGAGTTATCCAAATTTTATATTGTTTTTATCGCTCAGTACATGAATTGATTACCCTGTTTTCTCTGTAAAGTAACCATATCGACCACTTGTTGTAAACTCCAGTGTTCTTGGGTGAAACATCTTTATGTGGTTGCCTATTTGTAGAGTCTTTGTATAGGACATATACGTTAAACTACTATTGTAAGCAAAAACTCACAAATATTCAGACGTGCTGTATCAGTGTGTTGAAGTTGTATTATGATGTATAGTACATGGCGTGGTGATAGATTTTGAAAGTGATATTACAAAAAAAAAAAAAAATGAATGATAGTCTTCAGTTACATACATAATACAAGATACACCTAAACATAATCGAATGTCATAAAGGATTGACCCATTTCATGATGATACCGGTAGATAGGCTATGTTCACGAACAGAAACTGATGGATATCAGGGGAATAATTGAACTCGCATACACTAACACACTTAAGTTAAAATCCACCGCTCTCGATTCGGCAACCATTTAGTTCTGTAAATCATTCCTCTTACTGTCTGACGGAGAGTTAAATTTATTACTTCCACCTAATGCATTGTTTCCTTCATAGAAAGAAGTTTATCAAGAACCATTCCCGAGTTATAATCTTAGACATGATAAAGTCTTTATATTTCCATCTCTTTATTTTCGATGATGATGGATTTTGATACGTCGAATTAAAAAGCAAAATGTGCTTTGTTTAATCGTTGCTGAACTTTGACTGTTATTGATAGCCTTTAACACTACTAAAACGACCGCCTACGTTTAATTCAGGACATATTTGTTCAAATTCTTCTCACTAAATGAGATTGTAAACAAGACCAATATCCTCTCCGAGATTATGCGAGATTACACAACGAAGGCTGAGTATTGATCATGCTTTCATAAATGTCCGAGTCATATGGCTCATAACACTGTTGTGATTACGAAGAGACCTTGTCTTCTCTGCGCCTCCCAAAGCCTTCCTGACGCTTGCATCATACCAATGATGCACATTTCTAGTATTATCACCATGCCATCGCAATGACGATAACTAGCTGTCGGCAAGTTTGTAGAAAACCGATTGCTGAGAAGAACCAATTTCCGTATTTAACAGATCGCCAAGTTTATTGAAAAACAAACAAAATCGGTTCTGTAAAGAGACTAAGCGCTTGGATAGGTTTTGCCAGGCACTGTGTTTCCGTCATTTTGTCTGACTTAAACGTTTTTATAGGGCTGCAATGGTTTTTGAAAAATGGAAAAATAGAAAGATGAATAAGAATTGTGTGACATTTTGTGCTCGAAATATCTTTAAAACAAAACCTTAAGTCATTTGATTATAATAGCTTAAAGTGAGTGTTTCAGCGCCGCCATGATTCTGTTTTTGTAATTGTTAAAGTATGCTGTCACATGTACTTTAAATCATAGTTTTCAGACCAGACAAAAATCATTTTTAGATCGATAAGAATATATAATTTCAGAAGAAACATTCTTTCGGACAATATTGATATATTTACTTGTTGTTGATGTTGAATAGAACACCGGGAATGGTACGTTATGGGTCTGGTGTCATGCGCATTCCTTTTTCTGCCTGGATCGAGATGTGTACAATACATAATTATTCTTTATTGCATGATTCAGTTTTTAGAAATTCTGTTGAAATTTTAAATTTTCTGTTTATCTAATAGTTTTTCGCTAATTACAGATATTCTACTGGAGTGACAATAATATCTTCATGCCTTTTTTCTAACTTATACTTTAAAAGCAGGGGGGAAATATATATTTTGGTGCTACTAAGGAAATGACGATGTCTTTATTTCAATACTTTTACAGCAGGTATTATCATTACGAAGACTGGTTATTCGTGCGTGAACTTAATTTAGCAAAATTTATCAATCCAGTTCAAATGGCATAATAGAAGACCAGTCGGAGTAATGGAAAATGTAAAATTTCACAACGTTGCCAAGGGTTCGATTGCCCTCAGCAAAGAAAGCGGAGACTTAGAGAATCGTTTGACTGATAGCGTAAACTTTCTCCTTGCCTTCAATTTGGTTCCTGATAATGAAATATTCCCTTTGCGTTTTCATCCGAGCCAGCAAGAGTAGTTAATACGGTTTGATGAGCAATTATTGTGAAATATATTAAATAGATAGCTGTATAAAGTGTACATGTTTTCCAATTCATAGTTATTGATATTGTGACGAACAAGGCCTGATAATTTCTCATATTCCGTGCCTAATTTGCATTTTGATGTATAGATAACAGCCATAGACCAGACTGTCCTCAGTATCATTACATACATTGGCTGTAGTGTGTCCCTCCTCACACAGCTGATCACAGTTACCGTCTTCGTCTGTGTCGGGTAAGCTGTTATATAAGTGATATGTGATGAACTCTTCATCTCTTCTGATTATTGTTTCACAATAGTCCTCTTACATGTACATAAATACGTAATGTTAAGATACATAAATACCATCAGATATCGCATTATTTCGATCTATAGGATGTTATATACTTTTCCTTTGAGTATTACCGTTCCATCAACAGGGTGATATAAGCATTAAGTAGACGCTAGAAGCGATATTGCTATAAAACATCTTGTAGAATAAATCTATCGGACATTATTTTATTGTTTTAATATATATCCATTGTATATTATTTACATATATTTGCTCAATTTTAGGACTCTGAATTCGGAACGTGTTTATGTTCACCGAAATTTATGTTTTGCAATCATCGCCTCTCAAGTTGCGTTTCTGTCAGGGATCAGAGCCGTTGAAAATAAGGTATTGTATAAAAACAATGGGAAGTAAGCCAGAGAAAATTATAGGACAAAGGCAAAGGCAGAGGCAAAAAATAGCAATCGTGCCAGGCAATATTTTGTCCTATACCGTTTATCAGAGTAACTGGAAGAAGAAAAATACTGACTGGAGGAAACATGTGATGTTGATTGCATTTGATGACACAATCTACATTGCCCTTTGATGTAGCTGAATTCTTTGTTTGGCTGTTCTGTTGATTTAATTCGATTCATTGTTGGCTGTACTGTTGATGAAGTTTAATTCATTATTAAGCTCTACTGTACTAATTCAAAATTTCATATTAAAGGTCCTATTAATTTGTGGGTCTTATGTACGCTCAGTGCAATAGGAGAGAATCCCAAATACCACGTATACATGTAACATGACTACAGCTTAGCTTTTTAAGAGAATATTTGTGAACGATGATTGTATTTCACCACCTTTCTTTCCATGTCAGTACCCTTTTAAGTCTTTGTAGGCAACCCTATTATTTCTGTTCACACGAAGAAAAGACTTTCTTTCTTAAAATGTACACACAAGTCGCATACTTTTACCGCAATTTATGCTATATATATTGGTTAACATGATAATGTCAGAATTCGAATGTTTAGATGAGACAAAGATGGCATGGCTTAGAGCAGAATTTAGAGATGTCAATCATAATTTTGATCTCCTGACGAAACATTTACTATCATTTGGTTAAAATGACAAAATAACCTAATTCTAAATGATATTCTTGATTTTATAAATAACAATCGTTTATCTTGTGAATAACAGCGGGATTTTTTTTATTGGTTGTAAACTGAAATCAAGATTGCTTAGAACCTGCCTTCACAACTCTTTTGTCCCAACAGGTGTTGTGTTCAATTGTCGCTATGATCCTTCATTACTTCTACACCGCCATGTTTGTTTGGATGCTGGTTGAAGGCATGCATCTATACAGCAAGGTCGTCAGAGTGTTCTCGACGGAGAGGTCAAGGGTCATATACTACTGTGGTTTTGGATGGGGTAAATGCTTCAGATAAGATAAATAATTCCACATAAAGAGAGCTGATTCGGGTAATGGCTGATCATATCTCTATTCATATTAACGATTTATCTCTCAAACACTTCTGTTTTCAACTATAGTTATACAACTGCAAATTATGATCCGACATTTTTAATGTAAGGTATTTGTATACAAAGAGTAAAGTTGATTTAGTTGTAGTCTAATGCCAATTATCAAGAATTCGGCATGTAATATTACAAAATGATGTTTTTATCTGGCAATCCAGGTGTCCCCCTCGTACTAGTGACTATTTCTGCTACTGCGGATTGGGAAGGCTACGGAAACGGTAAGAGGTATGTCGAGGTATATTCCGGGAAACAGTTCGGTTCATAAGTAAAACTTTCTCAACATCAATAAAACAGTTAACACTCAATTGATTTGTGTAATATGACCAATCTTAATTTTCTTTTTATCCTGTTACCACCGTTTCGAAATACAGTTATTCAATACGATATGTAAGTTGGATATTAAGTGATAGATAATCCAGACATTTAAGACATCATATTGGCAGGAAGACATGTCTGTGTAAAACATCTCTCTAATGATTAACCAAAAGGCTGAAGACTACAATAGAAAAAAAAATACTATGTTTAACAAGTGCGAAATCAAAGGCATTGCGTTTGTGTTCTGTACTGTTAAGAGAGGACTCTAGTAAATATGTAAAAAAAAAAAGTAGTTTTATGTTGTTAAGTAAATGTTATACATATCAGTTTGGCTTCTTTTGATGGAAAAGGCACCGTTTATTTCTAGGAATTAAGTCATTACAACTTTTACAAATATTTTTAACTATCTGGGCTATTCAAATCGAATTCAAATGAGAAGTGCTACATAGATCGCTCTCAAATTCCATATGCAAGTTTCCTTTGGTCATTTGTTTTGTCCATTTAATTTCTGTGATTAGGGAAAGAAAATGACTAAAAGACGTTATCTTCGATTTGACAAAGAAATTTTGTTATTATTTCTAGGATTCGATGGATCTTTCTCACATTTCAAATCTACACTCCTTTTAGATAAAACATTAATGTATTTACCAAAAGCAAATCAAAAAGTGGTATATAGATTCATAACAATTTCATCATTATAAGGATAAAGATAAAACAAAAACACTTCATTTTTGTTGAAAACAAATTATCAAACTTAATATTCAACAATAAAACGATTTGCTGAAAAATACTTGAAATGGAAAATATTGTTTTTTAGATAAATCGTACAATGACGCCTACTAATGAAGATGTTAATATACGTGTTTAATTAAAGATGTTTATCTTGACGCCAATGCTACTAGTTATACCCATTTGAAGCAGCATTCCCGGGTCTTCCCTGATGCCAATATCTAATTGATATGCTTGGTTTGTACGTGTGTTGTTTTTCTAATTATTTAAAGTTAGCAATTTGTACAAACAAATCTATTTACTCGAATTTTAATTCAATGCCCGAAATATTACAAACAGCAAATTAATTCAATAACATGACAGCATTCTAAGATACAAACGAGAAATAACATTAAACAATATTTAAGATACACAGTCTTCCTCATTACTGCATGCTTTTCTTTATCCCTTTTTTCTAAAACTACAATGTCAGACAGTCTGAAGATTATTATCAAGAATTCTGTAAATTACGATTCTGTCAATATTGAAGAAATAAACTTTAACAAATCCCTACAACATTTAACAGCAAAAATCTAGCATGGTTTTACATTAAAGATCCTCAAACTGAATGTATTCTATACAGAAGCATTATTTTCGGTGTTACTGTTTTGATGAAAGTCTATGTAACGAAATCTCGTTATCAATTGTGGTTAGCATCAATTATATTGTGCCAATGGATTTATCTTAACAGTCGATAGTTATGTTAGTTTGATTATAAAGTAATGTTTGCCGACCCTTAAGCGATTTATGTTTTTTTTTCTTTTGTATATATGACATATATATTTTTTTCATAACTGCTACTACATGCATTGACAATTCATTGTTTAACGTCATTGTGTTACGTACGTATTTTTTAAATGATCTTAGAACTTTAATATCTATTACAGCTATCAATTTCTTTTAACGCAGCATTTTTACGTCATAAGTTGAAAGTGGCTGTCCCCGTTTGATTTTGTCCTCCACACTTTTGCTTTAAAAAACCTGACAAAATGTAACTTTTTTGAAACATGAAAGATTTGAATTTTGGTGTCAAGGCTGGCAACAAGCTCTTTCCATTACATGACATATGGAATGAAATCTCATTGAAGATGCTATAAGAGTTAATAGGCAATAGAATTATCAACATGTTCAGTCAGTAACATTGAATTGTAATATTTCTTCAAATGTCCTGTATTTATCGGGAGAAATCGGTCATATATCGACATAAATCGAAATAACAAGATCATGATATATATATTGATATAAAACCGATGTTGTAATATATCGATATCGTTGAAGAGTCTTAGAAGGACAAAACAGCTGTATGATGCAGTTTAATTCATTGTTTGCCTCTCCTGTAACTTTTAAACAAGTTATCCTGTTAATCCATTCCAAAATGAAAAACAAATGGGGTATTAACCAATCTAGCTATGATATAAACAGACATTCAAACAAACTCGGTATTCATTAGCATGTGCTTTAAGGTTTTACTTTACACTTGACAACAAGACGGCGCCATTTTTAATGGATAGCTGTACAACGTAGTCAGATATTTTATGCTAATTTTGGTAAAATACGCTTAATAACTGTTACATATTCCAAATAAGAGATGTACATAAAAAGAGTTAACTATATCTACCTTTGCTTACATCTAATCAGTATAATCGCAAATTTCAATGTAGTGATAAGAAATTACTGCTCTTGGTGATCAAAAACTACAAGCGATATATAGATACTGGACTAAAACTCAAATGATGTATATAGAACTACCTTCATTATCACAATGTATATCTATATAACTATAGTTTTATAAAGAATAGTGATAAAAGTTAAACAAATTGATGCACAACTGTCATATCATAATATAAATCAATATCAATTCAATATAAATTTATAGAACTCTAATATCTTCTTATCAATACACTTATCTCGAATATCGTAATACAACTCGACATAACTCTAATGCCATGTTATATATCGATACAATTTATCATGATAGCTATAGATTTGACTTATAAAGTAGACGCGAGAATTGTATGATAATGAAATATTTAAGTCACGCGCTTTAGCGTATAGACAGACAGTAAAATTCCAATTCCCTGTCGAGCATTGTTTCATAGAACACATGCACTTTTCAGATTTGATATACTGTAATTTCATTTACTATAATAACTTCTGCTGCTTCTCCTTGGTCAGCATTCTTTTAAGAAATTGTCTTTGTTTGAATCGAATTATAGGACAATGGTGAGTGAATGACGTGGAATAACCTTAAGTATGTACATATTGTATAATTACATCTGAAATAATTGAGGTTCCCTTATTAAACCTAACAAATATACATGTCCTTAATCAAACTGTAAATAACATTAATTGTGTGACGTCATAACAATAACAATGGGGACAAAATAGTAGGAAATACGTAAATGTTCTTTGAGCTGTCCGTCTTTCTCAGCTTTCTTTCCAAAAGATCACATTTTACGACATCATTCTGTAGAATAGATGTTCTTAAAACACGACAACTAAATATTTAAATGTGTCGTTTCGATGATTACACTGCCAACTTCATCAGACAAATGATCAGCGTGAAGCTTACCAGCTCTGATGTATATAGTGTTTGTGATAGTTAAGAAACTACCGACTTTGTTCAGGTGTAATATAATCTTATGTATATACTTAGTTGTAAAAAACATTTACTGACGAGATGGTTAAAAACGTTATTTTAAAAGTGGACACAAGATGCTAACCATGTACGGAAGTAGATTTGGTTAGCTATTCGGTTAAAACTATTTGTATGAGATGGCAGGAATGCAGACACTGACTCTAGAATAGATGTTCTTATTACACAACCAGTAACAGATTAGAGTGTGACGTTTCTATGACACATTCTAATCTTCTACTGGTTGTGTAATAAGAACTTCTATTCTATTGACATTACCAACATGGCCTACCCCCTACCCCCCTCATTCTCCCTTGGGCTAAAATGGGCTAGATGGTGGAGCTAGCAGGTGACAATACCTCATTTCAGAAGTATTTTTCCTCGTGCTCATGTTGTATAACCACATTCGTGGAAAATTGAATTTCATTACCCTGAGATCCAAAGTCACATACATCCCTCCTCTCACTCGGCTGCTGGCAGTTCACTATAATCCATTTTGGATATTTATATTTTGAGCACAATATGTATATCTTAAATTGAAAATAATTTATAATTGTATTATGTATTGACCTTGGCTGATCGACATTGGCATGACTGAAATTTCCAAATTCTATTTTCTCACGACCCATAAGTTGTCGAATCCAATACTATAGTATTTCTGAGCAAAATTTGTTTTGTTTGAAAGTAATTCAATATTTAAGATTGTTATTGTATTCACCTTTTGACCCTTAAAGTGACCGATGGGCCGATTTAAAATGGGTCAACTTAATTGAAATTACATAAATCATGCAGTTAAAGTTCTCTTAATTTGGTAACAACATGATTTCTAAATGAGCTGTTACAAAAATGAAATAGCCAATCAGTTTTATATTACACAGATGACTGTTATGGTTCTTGTGCCTCTTTAACTAATGAATCTGATAAGACCAATAACTTAAGCACATTGATAATTACCTTAACTGTTTTGAAGGAAATATATATTGTACATCCCTAGTTTAAGGTTAGGTATGTATGTAGGTGATATCTCTACCTCAGTAAGTTGTTATTGCTACGCTATAATGACAGATATATCAAACAGAAAGATGCCGTTGTAATTACATCGTATTTGTACATTAATATACTTGATCATGTTGCTTCCTCTAGCTGTTGGCTCTCTACCAAGACAGGGACCATATGGGCATTCGTTGGGCCCGCGATAGCAATCATATTGGTAAGATATGTTATCTCTGGCATGTCTAAAAGAAAATATACTATACGTTCACGTATTAAGATTAAGTCAATTATATCATGAAAAGTATCATAGAAAGTCACAATTGATATTCGAGATCAATGAAATAAAATATGAAAAATATTAACAAAATGAATTGCAGGTTAAGTCATGTCTGTGTTATGAATTTGGCAGCATTTACATTATCACTGGTATGACGAACAGATTGCATCTAACATCTTCATATTCTAATCATTCGAACTGCCGGAAGTGTTTGGACTTTATGTCATATATGTATCTTACACATCGATTTAATTAAATTATTTTCATCTGGGAAGGAGTTTACAACTGGTAAAATATATCGATAAACTGATTGATCGTTACGAGATATCTGCAAATGTTTGACTTCACTTTATCAAGAATGCCTTCCAGTATTCTGTTACATCTACACATATTTACAAAAAAATCGTTATATATTGTATCTTGATGTATTGCCTTGAGTTGACTATTGCAATTAACTAACTGATTTTCTCTAATATCACAGGTTAATATAGTGATCCTAGCCATGGTAGTTAAAGTTGTGATGAGTTCTGCAAAGCTGGAAAGAAATGGGGAATTTGATCATATCAGGTAATCAAATGATAAGGGTTATATTTCAAATATTTATATTGTTTTGCAGACAGGTCCCATAGCTTATATATACTTTTATAACTACTTTAACGACATAAGCATTACACTATGAGTATTAATGATCAATTTACTATTAGATACTCAGGAGTAACTCATTGCTTTGAAAACTACATCTCGTCGAAACAATGCGCACATCTGTGTCTGTATAAATTAGACAAAACATTTCCAGTTTTTACTACGTCATATAACGCAGGAGGCACTACCTGCATTTAAAACTCATGGAAACAACATTTCAAATAAATCAACAACCTCATGGCAACATTATTATATCTATTTTTGCTAAATAAATAAGTTAGACTCTACATTAAACTCTTTGTACGATATGAAATTGGATGTTTTCGATGTTCGTCATTAGATTTAGTATACTTCGATTGGTATGACTGGTGTAATCCTTGACAAGGCAGACACTTACCCTCCGGATGATTTTTTTTCTTCCACTAGGCTTTTTCTGGTAAATCAGATGTTGGTTTCTTTTTCCCTCTCGATGTATGTTGAATTTGAAGTAAGAAGTTTATAGTATAGTACCGCTATATGCCGTAAAGCTTTAGAAGTACGTTGTACGTCAATTTTGCCATAGAGACTGGGGAGGGGAAGGGGTCTGAGTAATTTTATTTAGATAATGTCTAGTTTGAACATAATCCGTTTTTATTACTGCTTCGATGTAAACAAATTATGAAATAGTATGAAAGCATATTGATTTGGTATCAGTAATATATCTGAAATATTGACACAAGCCATTTAGTTGTTTATCAATATGCGCTCATAACAACCATACGTTTTGAAATGATTTGTATAGAGTAATTAGTTCATATATCCGGAAGTCCATTTCGCTTATTAAACATGAAAGTATGCTTTATGTTCTGATCTATAAGATATGAGGACGAAGATGATTGTCTACAATTTTGTATCATTAATTGGCCAAAATGGTTGAGTGCTTGAATTGTCCATTAAACATAAGTCAATTGCATAGTTTGTGGTCAGTTTATATCGAACACTCATTCGTTTAGAGTTACCTCGAACGATATGCTTAATGTTTTGACATAAACAAAATGAAGGAGATTTGATTTAGTGCCATGTTACATGAAACATATTCCTAAGTACCATTTTATGTGAATGATATTTACTGAGTTTATCAATGTTGACAACCGCAATAACAAATCGATCCATATAAGAACGGTTTGCACATATGTCCCTTTAAACAATAATATGTTTTCACATTTCTACTTTTCAATGTTTTTAAATGTATCATGGAAATCATAAAAAAATATCTAAGCGTTTTTTGAAATGATCATACGAGTTTGGTTAATAAAAAAACTGCATTAACAGAGCTTTAACGCTGATGCGGCAGTACACAGTTATTGTTTTGTCGAACAAGAGTTTAGACATAGGTTACTACGTATCAGCGATCAGTGGGATTCGCAATTAAATTTCAAGAGTGCCTAAATTTCGCTGGTTTAATTGAACATTGTAAATCTTAAAATTACGTTATCGATTACATGAACCGGCGTTTATATCATTTGCTTATAAAATACTCCATCCATTATTTTTTGTTGATATCGTTCTCACATTTGACTCGACCTATATTGACAGAGTCGGCGTTAAGGGAGCTATGTTCCTTTTACCTCTACTTGGGCTTACCTGGTTATTCGGTTTGTTGGCAGTCAATGAAGACATGATAGTGTTCCAGTATCTGTTTGCTATATTCAACTCACTGCAGGTATATATAAATACGTCTTGAGAGTTTCATTTCGTGTCATTGCAAATCACACATGTCTTTAAGAATTTCCTTATGTACATTTCTGGCTGATGAATTTATTCCGAGTTTTAGAGTTTCCAGTTTTTTTTCGCTTTTCCGTTTTCTTACAGTAAACGTAGGGCAACCATTGAAATAGGAAATGCAGCCAACTGATGTACAGGATCACTTGTTGATTGCATGCAGGTTTACTCGTTTTGATAACATTTTGAAAAAAGAATGCGGATTAGAGAAACAAAGCTTTGTCATTTGACATCGCAACTTCATTGTTTAGATATAAACATTGGAGAATGGTTGATTTTTTGGATAGCGAACGTATCACAATAAAAGCAATTGATCATTTATCGCACATGTTATCCGGTCATCTATAGCCTCTTGGGATGGATATGTTTAGAAATAACAAAATAAACAAATCATTTTTACATCGTTCAATCATAAAAACTGATACGTTACACTATCCGTTTCATTTGAAAATACAAGCTGATTGATTTTAAGCATCTAAATTGCATGCAAATATCTGATATGCCGTGATTTCTGGTTGAAAAAGAATTGATCATTGATTTGAAAAGTGTCCCTGTTTATTAAATCAAGTGAAATGAATATGTCGTTAACATAAAAACTGACTTACGATTACATTGAAAGGACACACCAGCAAGCTACTAAACAGTCTATGTGTCTATATTGAACACGAAACGCTCACATGCCGCGCTATGTGTGATTTAAATTTGAAAATGGTGACATTGTCGTCAATGCTTTACATCCTTTCGAAAAAAACGTAATTTATGGGAAAACATGCAGCATGTCCCGAATTAACACGAATGTTTTATTCAAACTTCATGTGACAATGGTTATGTATGTCATTATATGTAATGTTGAAAATAGAATAGAAATATGTTTTACTTGCTCTACATGACCGGTATGTACATGAAATCAGTCTCATTCAAAAGCTTAGTAGAACTGATTTTAATCCCCTCTTTGGTCTTGTGAAACCAATTGTAATACAGCACAGTGTTTATTATTGATCATATGTCAGTTCGACAATCCGTTAGATAAGACGACATACAAAAACAAATCTAAATTCAGACCTTGATTTCAAAATATTCGCCAAAAGCCTGTCAACAGTTAAAAGCACTCACAAAGAAAAGGTCAGAAACACAAGACATAAAGCAGGCAACAATTTTTACCAGCAAACGTCTATTCAAACATATATATGAAATATCGACGACCAAACCACACGATTTTATAAAAAAATATCATACAATCGGGGACCCTATTCAATACAAATTATAGCATACATATATTTAACACCAGGAAGAAACATTAACATGCCCCTGAACACATTTCCAAACGTTCAGCAGTAAACCTCTATTCAGCAAATGATAATTGTCATCAAATCATTATTGATTACCCAACGAATATATTGGACAAAAATGCTCATCAATCTTACTATTGAAAGCTAGTTATTACTACATTGGAAAGCACAATCGACAAGACACGTCAATATATCTTGAATTATACACTTCTTGTTTCTAATAAAGAGTATTACTTTCATTTTCAATTCCTTTCTTTACAAATATGGCGCTACAATAACGATTTAATTCTACCTTCACATGACGTTCGGCTCCTAATTCTGTATTTCTGGAGGTTCTTTCATGTGAAAAAAACTTTCAGGAATTTCATTGTGTTAAGTACGGTCAGGGTACAGGTTTATATACTAGACAACATAACGATTAAGGATATGAAATAAAGACAGAAATAAATACTAAAACATTTATAAATATGTTTAATTATAAAACGTCAGAAACGCTGAAGAATCAGTTACTTAAATAGATTAGGACGATTCGTCTACCCAGTCATTGATTTGAATCTTTAGATTATTATGTCGGTGTTTGCCCAAGCATTAAGTGTATTTACCCTTAGTTCCAGAATTTATCCATCATTGTCAAAGCCTCAACAACACTACTATTGCGTAGAATTGTCAGAATTAATGGTTTCCGTCAGGTTATCTTAAAGTCTAACAATTAATGGTTTGATGATAGAGGTCATGGACACTGTGAGAAACATCATTCAACTTAACATGCACGGTTAGGTCTGTATGTTTGCACCATCAATTATGTTCTATTTTGAATCATAGTTGATTCCATAATAGAACAGAACATTTTATTTTCCATATGCTGTTAACTCGATCAAAAGTGATGTATTATATTTATTCACATATTCATACTTTTGATAGATATTCCCTATATATCATGCTTCAGCGATTATTCTGTACACAAAATGCTAAACATGCACTTTACATTATACAGGGGTTTTTCATTTTCCTTTTCCATTGTGCGTTCAACTTAGAGGTAAGTATTCTTTTAAGTCTTAATATCATATGTGATAAATATCGTCTTTGCTCTCAGCGAAAATCAAGGTTTAGGATTATAAAAAAAATCAAACGTTTAATCTAAATTATTTTGCTATCATGTAACTAATAAATACAAAGATTAATTAAAAATTTCAAAAACATGTATCTGTTCGTCCAATTATGGGCTACGTAAAATTCCCCCTTTAACCGACATGTTTTCATTCACAAAACAAGACATCCAGCAATTTCCTTGGACTTGCTCGAGGTATAACCGAATCACAATGTTGCTTGGTGACGAATAAAAGTAGCTAGCAGCTGTTCCGAATGTGCCCACGCATGTACATTGCACGACAACCACAACAGTGTTACAAAGTAGCACTACATTGTACTTTAGATTCAACTGATAGGTCATTAGAGCGGAGAGTTTTACAAGCTTAACGTAAATATAAAGATGGTCTTTCTATCTAAATTTACCAATTCAGGAATTAAAAAAACAGGATAAATTTGCTTATCCCCAAACCCCAAAAATATGCTCATTTATTTCATTTATCCACATACCTACATATGTAAATGCACTTAATTCGTCTCGTCAAATTATCTATATACGGAGTTTTTTGTTTGTTTTTTTTTAAATAAATTTATTGGTGATTTGTAATATTTTGTTGAGAAAAACAAGTTTGATAGCTGAAGACATTAATTTTAGAGGTTACGACGTCTAATCTACTAAGTTTTTAGTTAATTTTGTATTTATGTATTTTTCTCTTTACACTGCTACATTTTTATCTATGTTTTCTTGCCATGCAATATTTTGTTAAAAAATAATCCATAAATAGCGTTGTTTATCAAACTAATGTAAACCTACTCATACCAGATGCTAATGTGTGACGTCAGTGTCGACCTCTTCTGAGCACCAAACCTATAAAACATTTGGCTTCGGATCCAACTTTGTCTATATTGTCCTCTTGATCAATCGTATATTGCTAAACAATACTACATTTTTGATATATTTATAGATATATCTCCTTTGTTCGTGTTATTTACGTACATCAATGAGAAACTTGCTTCGTTTTTCTGTTCCTATTTACACTTGTAATACATATACTGTTTTTACATGTGATAACGGGGATCGTATTTCTTATTACTATGTTTGCTATCTTATAATTACAATATAATAAGTAGACAAACTACTTAGCGGCAAAGGATATAAGTACTGTCACTGAATGTATACCAATGAGAGGACAGTTCAACCCAACCTTTCTCCTCCCGCATTTTTGTCTTTTCTATCATGACTTCTCATCCGTCACGTCTACCACCAAGTATTACAAGCATTACCTTGTCACAAATCCTCACGACCATACTATGATCTTTCAATTAAACCTGAAATATTGAACTGTAGAATCAAAAGAGAGAAAGAAATACATAAATGTTTTATGCACTGAGCTCATGTATATTACTTTCAATTAAATGTTCGATGATAACATCTTCTGAAGAAATACATGTCTAATATCATTAACATCTAAATAAAGATATATTTGGAATAATAATGCCTATGTATCATATTAACCGTTATAGGTTCGACAAGCCCTTTCAAAGATGAGAGAAAGAAGAATCCTTCAAAGGGGAGACTTCGTTTCCCTGTCAAACGGCAACTCTGACGGCTTCCAGGTAACAAAAATACTCTATCATGCAGCATTACATATATGACTTAAATGAGCGCGGGATGTATGACCGAATTCACAAGACATTCGTCAGCGATTGTATGGAATAAAGCAAAGGCTAGTTTTTGTGATTCTTTGCAATATCTTAAAGCAATGACATATATATTACACTATATTTTCCAGATGTTGTTAATGATAAATTATATCTTCGTTAGTTATTATGCAAGTGTTTTGCTCGAGGTGTTGCAGCATTAACAAGCTCAGAGGTAACACAAATCATCTAAATACCGACGGTATCGTCTCTCCCGGGGATTCAGACTCACACAAGCAAAGTTTTCTGGAAACTGAATTGATAGCGAAAGAGTAATTTCGAAAAGAAATAACATGCTTACGTAGCCAACATTGTTATTTTCACTCAATCATTTATTTCTATAAATACGACTGTTGATGTTGTTGGGTTACGTTTGGAGTCGGTAATCTTCGTGTGTAGTGTTATATGCCGATCTTTAGCACTATAAGTGTTTCACAGTCATTAAATGTTCAATCGATATCCCTAACAGAAAACTCGACATCGTCATCAGTCCAAGCCTCAGAGAACATATCGAAAGAAAAGGGTATCTTCAGTGACGTCAGACCAAACGACGTCATGGTCTCCTAAACATTCAAGCGTGTCAAGCAGGAGTAGCACACAAAGTACAGAAGTTCGAGAAACGGGTAAGGGAACATTCACATTTATACAACAGAGAAATTGTCTATTTATAGATAATAAGAAATTATTAATATCTACACGGCAGATCAAACTCAAAATTCCAATAAAAATGAGGGGGAAATCTTAACTAAATGTAACAGATACATTAATACAGAGATCGTTGAAAATATTCCAGAAAAATAAGACCAGGTCTTCCCGAAAGGCAAGCACCTTCTGTTTTTAGACGATAAGTAATGTCAGCTTATTCTCAAATGATAACTGGGTTTAAAAGATCCAGCAAGCATGCTAAGGAGCTCCGAACACATCTATCCCACTTTATAACGTACAAGGAAATACAATGCATTTCAATGATGCTATGACGACGTCTATATCTTGTAATTTTGTCACGAACAGTGAAAAATTACATGTATCTGTTGTTATACGATAAAAACCAAACGTCCTTTTCTGGTGTCTAAAGAATACAAGTATATCACCAAGACTTTCATCAACAACGTTGCATACTTAGTGAAGAGAAACCGATGGCTAAATGTTATGGATCAATCGATGTCTACACTCCAAGGAATGTTTCCGGAATTATCTGATCAGCTTATACATACAAACATCAAAAACATAACTATGTTTTCATCGGATCATTAATACAATAGAAATGTAGAAAAGATCAGGATCACACCTACTCTTTACAGGATTAGTTCCAACATCAACACTTATCATTTTCGAGTATGTATGTTTTCCGTCTAAGAGTCTGAATAAAACAGACAACTAATTTTCATTATCATAATATTCAGTGAATATTATTATATAAGATATTCAAAATATCGATATTTCACAAATTAAATTATCAATATAAGGAAAATGATTGCTCTCCAAAATTAAGTGATTTGAAGGTTTACATTAGTGCCGGAACCATTAGGGATTCAAGATTGAATTAAATGCATTATATTCAAAAGTGTACTGATTATGAACTCCGTATAATACATTTAAAGGACAATGACTGCTCTCACAAAATAAGTTTTTTACAGTATCAAAACCTTGGAACCAGGACCTGTACGTTTCTCTTTTTCATCACAGAAAAGAATCGAACGAGGATTTATTTAAACCCAATTGACCTGTCTGCCCATTACAATATGTGATAAGTTGTTTCCATCCATTCTCTTATCTCCTTCCTTATGTTCGGCGGTGCTCCCGAGGCGGCCAGCATAATAAGACCGTAGATCTTTGTGACGACATGGAAATCATGACAAGCAAACACAACAAGTCTATCATCATAGACGGGTCAAACCCTACGGGGCTTTAGTTTTGGTCTTTCCTTTAGAACAGTGGCGACAGATCGTCGGTTACAAAAATACATTTTTTTGGCTATATTCAACATTTAACAGAATAATTATCAATTCAAAGCAGTAACTATCAGCCAGCACAGACTCAAACTACATGCACATGCAGACTTGAGATTAAATGGGAGTTTTACATCAGTTTCAATTGAATAATAATTTTCTCGAATATCATTTCAAGTGTACTTTAATCTTGGAGTATATAAATCACAGGCACAATATACTTACTGTAATGGAAAATCTTCAGAAGATCTGGGAGAGGATGATAATACATATCTTATCTCTGATACTGCGGGTTTGGGACATAACCAAGACGACAACTGTGACTGTTAGATATGTGACATTTTCAAGTTAATAACTGTACGTTATGGCTTTCTCGTATGATTTAAATGGGAAGTTACCATCATACCACGCTATGTCTATTTTCGTATTTGATAATTGCGACGTGAGTACTTATATTCTTTTATACCGCGGATGGTACTTCGAACCCTACACCTGACAGGTGATACTGTACATTTTAGCCCAAGGAGGACGACGTTCTGCCAAACTATATCTGGAATATTCATTTCCATTGATGAGTTGTTGTCTCTGTCTAATTGCGGAGGAGTTCCCTTGTAGTATCTAGTGACAACATGTAGTTGTTTCTGTCTAATTGCGGTGGAGTTCCTTTGTAGTATCCAGTGAAAACATGTTGTTGTTTCTGTCTAATTGCGGAGGAGTTCCCTTGTAGTATCTAGTGGCAACATGTTGTTGTTTTTGTCTAATTGCGGTGGAGTTCCCTTGTAGTATCTAGTGACTATATGTTGTTGTTTCTGTCTAATTGAGGAGGAGTTCCCTTGTAGTATCTAGTGACAACATATCTACGTGTCATACGGGAGCTCCGTATGCTATCCACAACAATGTTTGTATCCTGCCCAATAAAATAACAGCCGATGTTGGAAATCTTAGTTGTCTTAGGAAGACAAACCATCCCGAACATCATTAGTAGTGGGATATTCTACCGACTGAAACTACTTAAGGCGTCATTAAGGCGATGTATGATAAAACAGATTTATTAATTATCTGCATAAACTCTGCTCATTGATGGCTGTTAACAAGTGTAAAGGTCTTCACGATAATTTCATTGCAAAATTATTTTTCCTGATTTGAAATGAAATCGGACATGATTAGCTCTCATTAGTAAACCTGTTGATATCCTTGTGGTTGAGCGTATTCGCATTGTGTGACATCACATGACTGAATTGACAAAACAATGACATGACGGTAAAATCCGATGAATCCGTGTAAATCTTTATTTTGTTTTTATTTTTCCTTTTTTTAGTTGGATGTTGGATTATTATTCTGGTGACGTGTTGGCACTTTCTTTGTTTTATATAACTGTTCGACTTTTAAACCACCATTGCATATTTCACTCCAAAACAGGACGATCACCTCTTAGAGTTGTATTTTCAAGATACTACGTGCAAATGTTAAGAATTCATCGTCCTAAAATATTCAAGGGAGCTATAACACATAAAAAAACAAACGGCAGTGTCGGGGGAATGGTTTGTTCAGGAATTATGCAATGACAGAGGACTATCAGTGGCATTAATCGTAATTTTATGTAAATTAAATTTACGCTGGACGTAATACAGAGACATTGAATCTGTGTCAATATCAGAAACATGCTATTCCATAAAAAATGTGTAATTTATTATAGCAATCTAATTTAGCTAATATCGGATTTTATCTTTAATATGCATGTCGAGCATAAAGCCGTACCACCCTGTTATAATTTAAATGATGTTACAATGTTCTTCTCATTGATTTTACGATACTTGATACAAGTCTCATTGGAATCTGTTTTAGTGTAATGGTTCTCTTTGTCATCGGAGACGACACATTGAACAAAATGGCATCTTCTTGCATTTTAAAAGCCATTTACTGCAGATTTTTTAATCATTTTTTCTTTCTCTGGTGATGATCCGAATTTTTTTTTTTTGATACTTTTTTTGTATTTGCAGATGATGTGGTTGTTCAGGACCTGACATTGCCAGAAGAAAATTTCGCATTGCAATACATCTAGAGCACTGAGTTACAAAATTTTGTTTTAATATCCAATCCATAATCATAGAAGTAAAAACTAATGTAGGAATTATTGGAACTTCCAATATCATGTGCGATGTATTGTTACTGAAGTAACGATCAAGAGTGAATTATCTCAAGCAGACGATATTTAGAAGATTAACAGTCACGTTAGAAAGTATAGAAAAGGTATGGCCTATTAATATTTCTAAATGATTTGTACAATGTTCTCTTTTGGAAAAAAAGATAATTCTGACTAACATCAAATAATATGGTAATATGACTGCGGGAGTACCTGTCCTGATGATACAACATGTTATTTTCAGGTGCAATGCTATCAATTCATTATTCAAAAAACATACATATATTTTTCTATATGGAATTAATATATTTTTCCTAATGCACGTATCACTGGATACATCCTCGCCAGAATATCATTATATAGTTATATAGATATGAGAGAATATCTGGTAGACATGACGATGCTGGTGAAAGCGTTCAGAATGAATGGTAACTGATTAACACATCACATAAGCCTATACATTTAGGAGTAAGATATGAAATGAATTGTTCAGGAAAGGACAAGTGTACTTTAAAAGGAACCAACAATTAAATACATGAAGAGTGATGCGATAGTCATGATATGCAGGGCTTATTCCGTAGCATTCCGTACAACACTGGGTTTATTCATGATTTCAATTCGTAATTCAGATGAAGCACTTTTCTCCGCATGTTTTGCCTCCTTGATAAAACATAAAACGGAAATTTTGCTTCAATTGGAAATACTGTGTGAAATAGCGTTTTGTTGAATTATTGTTATAAAAGATAATAAAAAACAATTCAAGATCGCCTTTCCAGAAAACCGATTTTCTATCAAAAGCTACGTTTGAGCGCATGCGTGACGAACGTTTTTGTCATTCAACAGCAATTGTTACTCTAATATAAAACCCAGTATTAGAGAAATCCACGACTGGGTTTGTGCTGCATGCTGTCAGAGTTTACACGTATTGTATATTGTTTTACAACAGTTTGGACGTATAGCGTGCAGACAAATGTTTAGTGGTAATCTCGCTCCGGACAGCAGATCTCTTATGAATGTACACAGTTAGGAATTTTCTCTTATTGAACAAATTCAAAATAGATTGCGAAAGGAGAAATATCTATCCAAAAAAAAATATTCTGATCGATTGCACTCGCATTCAACACGATGAATGTTAAATTGAAATTGATAAATTGAGAGCCAATTTGAATTTAATCAGTTTAAAGAAATACATTCAAGGAGCCCTATGTGATCATCCTGTTATAGTACAGTTCTAGTGTTTGGTATTAAAGTAAGACGTAGCAATATTCTGGTATCTCTGTCGTGTCTAAATTTCACACCAGTGCCCTTATTGAAGTCGTAAAAAAGAATATGGAAGAAGAAAGTGTAAGACTCGTTTAATGAATGTAGTACGACATAAAAACTGTGAGATCCTCCATGTCGAACCACACACGACTACAAGCATTACTTTTCACGAGACTTGCACCTCAATAAAACAACATCTAATATTTTAAGTTGATATGGAAGCTCACATTACTTAATTGTATTTCGTGTTTTACAGTTTTACCCTTTGAACATTTCTTTTATAAGATTTATTTGATGAAATTGTAACCAACGAATGACGCTGAGTCGTGCCAAGGACATCAGGAGTAGCATCCGATTTTTGTTGACGTTTCACATTTTTTCCCGTTAACATGGATCACGCTGATTCAGATATAAAAATGACAGTTATACTCCCAGTAACTTACCTGACTTTGTCATCAATAAGATGATCTTCACGTTGTATGTAGTCTGAATAAATAGAGTGGAAGAATCTAGGATAGAGTAATACCTCTGAAAGATTAGTAAGCCCCAAGTAAGATAATGTCACAAAAGTTATAATATAACGTCAATATCTTCTTTATCAATATCTGTATTACATGAAAGGTCATGTTTTCGATTGTAGTAATTCATGTCACGACGTCACTTCATTGTAATCCATATCTGTGACTGACAGTCAGCGTCAGATTAAAGCTTCGATAAATAATTGAGCTTTCAAACAAGTATCCCTGGAATGTATGCAATATTCAAAATAATCCAAAATATTGTTCCATCTCATTACGTAACGTTCGTTTTATGTGCTGGCAACAATTTTGCAGATATTTGTATTTACACCTTTGTAATGATCAGCCTCAGAACTAACCAGACTAAGGAGAGGAGCGGTATATGACAAAGCTAAACTTCATCAGCTTAACATATTTATGTGAATATTTGTATCGTATTCCGCTTTCTCATTCTGGATTTCGTAAATAATATTGATTCTAAATGAAACATAAGACAAACATTTTTTTTAAATACTATCATAAGACTGGTAGGAAACGATTATCGATTTTTTTTATTTTATAAACGAAATAGGTTCGTTGCTCGGTCGTTAGTCTAACAAAGCAACCAAATCGTCGTCTCATGCTTACATGTTGATTCATTTGCTACCATCCCTGTTCGTTATGTCGATTGAAACTATTTTAACTAGCAATGAAAGTGCCTAGTGTTGTGAGCACGATGACTTTCTCTACATGCTAAATGAAATCCATTATGACCTTGCCGGATTTCATACTCATCGATTCGTTTGTGTTGATAGGGTTCTCTGCCCTAAGCAATGAATAGAAAGGTTTCTACCAAAATAGTAAAGTCTGAAGTTTATTATCAATATATTACAAAAACTTTCTAGGAAGGGAATTGTATCTTAGCATTGAGTTATTTCCTATATAATACAAAATTCGAAGGATCTCTTTTTGCAAAGCTCTCGAAAAATCCATACCTTAAAGCAGTGAAAATAAAGTATTAGTGCAAAATGCAAACTGCTTCTAGCATACTTCAAGGAAATGTTGTGTTCCTATCATGACCTCATTAGAAATATTCTGTTTCCGTGTATGCAATATTAAGTCTGGAATGTTCAACGCTTGTTAATATACAAATGCATCAATTGGATATGATAACCTCGTTTCCGTTTTAGGAACAAGAGACTACCTATATGACAGGTGTCGTAGATATATCCCAATATGTATCCTCTGATTGTTGTATTTTGTCGTTCTTGCCTTACTTTGTTTCGTCATATATTGAATTTAGCAATGTCACATTTAACAATGTTCAGAAATCACGAGTATAGAATGCAGTTAAATATATATCTAGACCTAATGGACCTAATTCTTGATTGTTTTGAAAGGTGTTTGTCACGTGTTTGTCTTTAGTCTAATATTGAAAATATAGGTATTGTGTGTATAAATGTTGCACAGATAATGTGTCGTGTTTACTTAAATGCATCGTAAATAAAAAATCATAGCTAAGAATGAAGACGTGTTTTCGTTTTGCTTTCTTGGATAGAATAATAAGCATCATAAACACTTTATATCAAAGTTTATTTAGTCATTCAGATATCAAAATGTATTTACTCATCATTCAATTAGCGGCTTATCAGCAAAAAATGTATTCTCTTCTGCCGTTTCAGTACTCTTTTGTTACTGTATAGGCGATTATTATCAAGAAAATGGTATTTGTTTGGTAATTACCGACACATTAACGTGATCACAAAAGTTTGATTCATGTAATTAGATAACTATCGTGATATGATCAATTGTAACTCAAGACTGACATCGATAACGTTACAAGCAGACTCCTACGTTGACAGTTTCCAACGATTAATTAGTGGTATTTCGACAATTGGACGTGTTGAGTATGGGTTATGTGTTAAAGCACACAAATTGTATTTAAATAGCACAAAAATTCACGTTGATAGGCATAAATAAGAATGTAAATGTTACTGAATTTACTAGTACTTCGGGATGATTTTCTGCATTTTTTACACTGCTACACTCCGTAAAAAGTATTTGGACAACATCTCTTCTGAAAAAGAAAATGCGAATAAAATAGCATACAGGTAAGCTGTACAGGAAGAACTACAACAATGAGACCAGACCATAGGTGGTTACATGGCAAGTACATGTGTAAAGTAGACAAATGACAGTTATCTTAAATGTATCATTGATAAACAAAGTGGACTTTCAATGACATTTGCGAACATTTGATGTTTTGACCGTGAAAATATTGGAAATTTGGACCAGCGGAAATAATCTGTTACTCAGAGTGTGATAATGATTGTCTATAATAAGCCAAGAAAGTAAAATTTATGTGGCATACTACGATACAAACCGAACGATATGGCAACGTTTTTGTTTTTTCGTTTTGTAATATTTCATATGTGGACTTATTATGTACTTCCATTCTCCTATTTCTGGTTTCAAAACATGCCAGGGTCCTTGGCTCGTAGTAAACGATATAAAACAATGAAAGTCACACAGACAAGAGAATTTTGACGATCCGTTGCCACGATGCTTAAGGTGCATTCTGAATAATCATTAGATTTTCCAGGCAGTATCATTATATATTGAGAGGCGGTAGTGACTTCTGAACGTTTATATAGAATCGATGTTCCTAACTAATAACCTTTCAACAGATATGTAACATTATCTTCAATATCAAATAAACATCCATTCTAACATATGATGTGGGAAGATATTTTGTGATATGATTATGGAAGTGTGCGTAATGTATTGCAGTTTAATTAACAAGTCAGTGACAAGTAGAACCAGTAACACGCCCAGCAATATAGTAAACTGAAACTACAATAACATTACTTGTCAAAACTGAATACTGTAGAATATGCATTCCTGTATAGTGACAATCCATCTTCGTCGTTTCTTCATTGACAAACATGTATAATGTTTATCAAGACATTTTCGCCCCAGGTTATTTGCGCACTTTTACCATTAAAACGAATTATAATCGTGTTCATTTCGCCTTCTGAGGATTATAACAGAGGGTTACATAAATGTAATAAATTTTATCACTCATCCCTCCTTGTCCATGGATGGAATGGAAAAAAAATAACCAAACGCGAAAATGTCTAGGTATGCAGCATTGAAACATTCTAAAACCTATCTACGTCCCAAAATAACGTTGTAGGTCTCTGCAGTGTTCGGTTAAGGGATGATTATTTGTATCTTACACTTGATGACCTTTACAACTTCCTGCTCTTTTCATCACGACATTAGATTTATAAATACAAGGCCTGTTTTTTCTGTTGCGGAAATAGTACAAGTAGGGATTAATGGTTGAATTGACATAGCCGAACCAGGTCACTATCTTCCAAAGTACTTCACTAATAGTATAGTTCAACAGAGGATCTATGACGTTGAAAACAAAAAAGGGCAACCAACATATGAGAAAGCATCCTAACATGATGGCTATTGTCCTCGCCACGCTAGCCTCCCTCATTAGAAAGTGTTCCTTTTGTTTTGACTGCACTGCCATACCGTCAGTCATTTGTCGAAGTTGTCGTGTTCGAACACGGACATTCCAGAAAATCTTAAAATTTAGCACTAACATGAATATTGATGGAATGTAAAATGAAATAACTGAACATATAACCGCATAATAAGCATTAACTCTGAAGTGGCACTCAGAGGAGCATGAATAATATTCCTCTATGCCGATCATATGAACTTTGCCAAATATCAATCCAAACGAAATGACTACAGGTAGTGACCAACACAGCATCAGTAGAGTCGCCACGCACTTTTGACTGATAAGATCATGGTATTTAAAAGGTAAGCATATCGCCACGTACCGATCTATTGTCATACACATCAAATGTAGAATTGATGTCGTTGTGAACATGACGTCAAAACTCCACGCCATCAGACATATATTTGGATCCGTCAGCCACGCCATGTTGCTCACTTCCTGTAGTATTGAGAATAACATCACAAATATCGCCACAGCGATGTCGGCGATGGCAAGAGACACTACAAAGACATTGGCTTTTTGCCGGAAGTTACTGCGTCTGATGATGATTATAATAACCAAGAGGTTTCCTAATATTGTCAACACAGGGAGACATGAAAGGCAAATGATAACAAGGGTTGAAACAACACCGTCTCCAAGGATCTGTTCCGGTTTCGGCTCGGGTCGACAACTGAAATTCAGGGTTGTATTCTCCATGATTGATTGTTGTTATACACAATAATTTAAACTTGAAACAAGACGGGATGGTATTGATGCAAAAACGATTAAGTTCGTCAGATTTAAATTGGGTTAGTTTTGTACATCCATGTATACCACTTCTAGAAATTAAGCTTTTCCATTTCGATTTTCTGTCGAGGCATCGAACACAAACGCAATGAACGGTTCATATACCATTCATTAAACAGTAGATATTTACAGTGGCTACCTCTGCCGCTCTTATTGTAATGTAGACATACCTCTCTTCTTTGAACAGAACTTTTTCCGGGAAAACATCACACCTTATGATCACATTCTTTGTAGTATTATGCTAAATCCATGTTTTTTTCTGTGTTCTTTTCACTCACTAGTAAACTTATTGCCAAGATTGTTGATGATTACTAGTTAGAACGTATACGATATACTCAAGCTATAAGAATATCTTCTTTTATAAATACAAATCTACTCGGGTGTAAATATAATTTAGTCTTTGTTTGCACCACGCCAGAGCTGAAACATCGACCACTTTGGGATTAATATTGGTATTCCAAAAATGACAACTACAGTTGTCAACAAATACTCCCTTCCGAGTCGTCACGAAATGTCTTCTTATGATGGTATTCCCGCTTAACGTTCAGATAGTTGCCCCACTCAAAATTTAATCTGGAACATCAATGTCGTCAGCAGTACCATTTTAGTCTGTTATATGGAAGTAATAATCAGATCGATATGTCAATGATGGGATGCTTTTTTCTCTCTTTTCCTGTAAATGCCATCCTGAGATATGCTTCTTTGAACGACACAGGCTTTTAACTATTCGCTCCATTACCCCAAATGAATTTCGATAATCATCCCATTCATTCTGAAACAGAAAGATTAGTAAATGAAACACTTTAACAGAAGTATGATTCAGATCTCATGCACAAAGGACTGCATTACCATATTAGAGATACTGTAATACTCTATGTACTGAGGTAGTCATTATAAATTTCAACTCATCATTTGTTTTTATGAATATGTCTTTGGTTGCTGACGTGAAAAGTATTAAATTCCTTTCTGTATTTTTCAAAACTAAACACACTCATTAAAATTACAATTAAAATCAGACTCTTTTCAAGACCTTAAAAATCGTGCATATGAACGATTCTCTAGATCAAAATATAACATTGTATGCTACAACTGAACCTATTCTTCTGTATCTTTCCAGGAGTATTCGTGTGAATATTTATTTTGTCCATATGATTCCGTTAACTCTTCTGTATCTTCTTTCGTGTTTATCTTAGATGTAATTTTGTGCCGTTACAAGACAGTCCTATGTATTTGATGCCCACTTGGATTTGTTACCCTTTGTGCAAAAGATAAAAATAAACCTTCCATAGCCATAACATATGTATTAAATGTTACCCTAATTTGATATGAAGGAGACAAAAATGTACTACAAGTACATGAATTATTGCTTCATTCATCATGTGTATCTAGATCAAATGCAAGTGATGTCGTGTCCTCATAATGTCAATCGGGTTAGTTATAAGATTATACCATTATACATCTCAGATAGTGTATTGAGGCAGTGTTGATACATGTATCATAAACTTATATTGAACATATTTTGTTTGAAGACAAAGGGCAATCAAGTAAAACAAAAAAACATAGAATGCAATGTAGGTTACACGCACGTGCTGAAGCAACGCCCTTCACAGGCAATTCAGTATGACAAGTAAATTTGTGTTGAATTCCTAGTATTTAGGCCGTGAAAATAAGAATTTTTACATAGTTTAATTACATCTTATACGCCATTGGGATGTGTCTATTCTGTCTTGTCAGAGGTCACGATATCTTTCTGCCTGTTTCTATTCCATTATCATAAGTTTGTTCATATAATAGTGTTAAAGACAAAGAACCTCCGCCATTATCTTTTAATTACGAAAATGTTGTTTTTCCTGAACATTCGAAAAGTTGGATATTAAGTAAACTTCATCTAAAATGCCATCACAGCATCGTGTGATAAACCAGGTAGACATGCACCTTAAAAATCATGATTCTGCATGAAACATACTCAGAAATCAATGCTATCCTTCATATTCATTCCCTTTCAATTTACCGATACATCATGCAGAAAGAGTGGAGTGTTCATACACTTTCAGTGAAAGGCACATGTTTCCGGTAGAAAAATACCTTTTTCAATGTTTCTAACACGTTGACGTCAATCAAATATCGATTTTTCGCCGGTTTAGCAACAGTAATAATAGGTTGTTATTGTTGTTCCAGACTCAAGTTGGACAGTTTGAGTTAAACCAAACAGCTTCAAACACTACACGGTTTACATCTAACACGGAAGAATACTCAGGCTGAGGAATGGAGATAGACTTAACAGGATGCATGCTACCTGTATCTACCGTATGACACTTTACATCATTGATCGGTCGGAAATCCCAATTTATACTTGTATTGAGTGCCTTACGCAACAGAAATGATTCATAACCTTATCAATGATGGCACATACAATGTACCTAGTCGTTATTATGTTGGTTTTTTTTTTACTTTTGCAGGACACCGTAAATCACCCATTGCCTATTATTTGTTTGTTATCTTCTTTTTTTCCTTTATCACAGGAAGAGTTTCAGAGGAATTTGATTACACAGTGTGCAAAAGGTAAGTTAGAAAAAGTAATGTCAATATGATAAAATGCATTTTGTTAGTGATATGGCAAGGAATTCAAAACTACTAGATGTAACGAATGATGTTGCCCAAGGAGGGTTCCGTCAAAAGCGAAAAACATAACTGTAATACTTGGGGAGAATTACCCTTAAAACAGGTAAATAATATTTAGGTTGAAATGAGCATTGACTCTGATCTGATGACATTCTATGCGGGTTTTTTGAGGCTATCACTTAGTTGTTTCCTTGGAAAGTGGCTCACCACACCGTCGAACCAGGAACGTTGACAGATCATTAAGTGGATGTATAAACAGAACAGAGTGTCCATTTGAGTTATGTATTAGATTCCTCGATCAAAGCAATCTGTATACTTACTCCGTCCAAATTCACATCTCTCTTGTGATTTTAGCAGATAACTCTTGTTGAAGACAATTGTTATATTGGTTTCATTAAAATCGAATACTGTTCTTAATATAACACTAATGGAATGTGACCTTCACAGCAATCATCACCTTTGCTCTATCAAAACTGAATTCCACATTAGAAATCACGATCGTTGCTCATTTAAAGTTGGACACCACAGTAGATATAACACCTACGCTAGATGTCAGTGTTTTATCATCTACATAACGAGAGGATAATTACAAAACACATCGTCCCATCAGCGATGAAGTTATTCTATGTAAAATCCTAAAGTAGATTTTTTCTTCATATAGCCTTTAAGATATATGAAGTAAGAATACCGAGGAGTGTCAATCAATTACTCTTTGTGCCGACCTAGGTGTGAACTGTAGATACAATTGATCGTAAAGAAAGTCTTAGCATACAGAATGTATGGTAATGTCAATAGTAAGCTTCCAAAATGTCTGGCAGGCAATTGCAACATAAACCTAAAACAGAACAAAAGGTATAGCTACCGATAGGAGTAATCTTTTATTAATGCATATGTCACTGGTTGTAAATTACCATTGAAGACAGAGTAAGGTACGTACTGAAAACCTTAAATTGCGATGTTTTCTACCAGAACGAAATATAAGTATCCATGCTATGTAGTAATATTTTGCCATATACCATTTTATTGGATCGTTAAAACGACTTCAAATTTTTCAGTTGCTTTGATTTTTAAATAAGCTGATTGATTTTTATTTGAGTTAACTGACATTTAAAAATCCAACACTTGAGCATTGCAGTCTGCCCTAATGGCGTGTTCAGCCAATACAGAACTGTATTTGCTCGTTTGCTTTACTGCATCTCTGACAGTCTAATGATAAGCATAGACACAAATACGACGAACTACTACCTGTAAAACATGTAAATATCGATACACTTCAGTCATCATATATTTTCCCCGATTTTAGGAAGAGTTGTGATTGATGAGAGCAGCAGTTGAAAAGGAATGCAAATCTTCGCGTATGCATTACTATCTCTTATGTGATACAAAATATGTATTGTCACAAGAGAATACGTTGCGGACCGGGAATGGAATGTGCTAATTATAACTTATATGGCAAGGTGCAGTTACTGTAGGGTCATGTTTTAGATTGCTCAGTACGATTTATCTTATAATTTTAAGACATTAACATACTGTTGTCGCAAATAATCTCTACTGGGAATTGATCATTTACTGTGGAATGCACAAGTGCTACACAAGCGAGTAGCACATTTAGATTTTAGAAATTAAGTGGTAGATACACCAACCATACTCAAGTAAGGCCAACAGATGCAACTTACACATGCTTTCTTTCTCCTAAGCCTCGCCAATAGCAAACATATATTTGTCTTATTCAAGCTACTTAATACGAGACTTCGTTGCCTATTTATAAAATTCATTTTACAAAGCATTGGAAGCAGCGTTCATCATCTTGCTGATGGGTCTAATATCCATCATCGAAAAATGATGCAAAATAAGACAGGGTACAGAAGGCTGAGGAGAAAAAGGATTGCTTGGTCACGTTATTTTAACCTATTGTCATACCATCGACACATTTTATTGAAAAAAAAGTGTAACATTGAAACGAAATGGTTTACCTTGTACTGTTATCCTTTCCTGAGTTTAACCACTCATCCTCCGTAGGTTATGCCTGATACATTCTCATTTCGATTTCTGTATTTTCATTTACTTCATTTATGTCAATGGTGTCAAAACTGATTCTTACTTTTTGATTATTATCTGTGAGAACACATGTTACACTATAATAACAACCAATGCAGCCATGCACATCAAGTCGATAGAGGTCCCTTCAGGACAAAAGGGATATCGCTAACACAGATCATCAACAGTTCAATACCAGATGTGCCTTCACTCTTTAACGATACACGTTATGTTATGGTGACACAAGACTC